AGGAATGTATTTCCCCTGAATTCAGCTCCACATTCCAGGGGTCACGTTTACGAGGACTGTAGTCAGCAAGGCGGGTAATAAAATGCTTGCACGGAATCTGGAGAAGTCGGAAAGTCACACTTGGGAGGTGCAAAGCTAGTGGAGAATGCTATGCCTGGGTATTTCATAAGCAGAGCTTTGTTGCCTTGTGTTTTCGAGTTGCCAGGCATCTGGGGAGTTTTGTTTTCTGCTTTTAATGGGCGTATCGTGATTATTTACCAGTCCTTAAAGAAAAAAAATCTCAGAAATATACCGCATAGACGCATACACAAGTAATATCAAGACAGCCTCTCTGGAGATTTAAGTTTTAATAAGTTTGCTGGCTGCCAAAAATCCCGTTTGTGCCTAGTCCTTACAGAGGCAAGGTTTAAAAAGCAGTGGATAGTTTCCCAGGAGAGACCAACTTTCTCCCAGTTCTATGAACCCGGGATCCGCGCGCGCGGCTGCTCAGAAACGTGCCCATTCCACCGACTTCGCCATTCAATAAAAGGCTTTCAATTACGATCCGGATAGGATTTAGCCAGACACGTCCTTTAAAAAAAAATCCCAGACTAGAGTTCAAATTAATTCAAAATATTATAAAATGCCCTACGCGGCCACTCGTTTAAAGCTGCAATATCATTCACTCCAAAAGAAGCGAGTATGTATAATGCATGCGCCTATGGAGAGCGCAGGATTCTGCTTCCTTTATCTTTGAAATGTAGGATCTTCAATTTAAAAAACATCCAATTTGATATAGTTTACAAAAAAAGAAGCCTTTTCCCCAGATTACGATCTTCATGCTCATGGGGCTGCGGGAGCGTAAAGCCACTGATTTCAGTCTCGTTCCTGCTTTATGCCAGCCTGCGGTCAAAACCAGCCCCGCGTAGTGCCTGCCATGGCTACAGTATTGAACTTTGCTTAGCAAGAAGTCGAGGCCCTGAGTCCGCTTAACTGTGAATGATCTTGGGTTCCTAGGGGAGGGTGTTAATAATGAATGTGAGCTGGATACTTATCCTCACAGATGAGTATGTGCCGGGTTAGCTCACTTCTACTGTCCTGTTGTACTCTCAGCTCTCCCTAATGCCGCCCAAACTCCCTCTCCTGGCACTTTCCCCTCGGTCAGATTCAGAGCCCAGCCATTGCTGAGACAACTTGGAGCTGCCCAAATGCACTAGACTTCTTTGCCAGGCAGGGCTCGATCCCAGCTGCTAACACCCACCCACCAGTATACCCAGTGAAGGCCACAGGGAATGAACTTCGGACTGGGGCAGAGCATTTCCTGGGGAAGAAAAACCCCGGCCAGACGTGCTAGGTGCAGTTATAGGGGGTGGGTAGCTCGGTGGGTTCATTTATATCTTCACCATCCACCTGCATGTTGAGACCCGAAGTTAAGCCCAGAGGAGGCGGCCAGATCGTGTTAAACATACCCTTTGTGCGTATATTTACGGCCTTTATATTTATATCCAACACGCCTGAGTGTGCAGCAGCGGGGTTCACATGCTTGCAGTACGTGCTGTGGGGTGTGTATACTCCTCTCCTCACGTGTGTGGCTGCAGGTAGGGGATGGGCTCAGTGCCTTCTCCATGGCTTGCCTTTCAGCCTCAGCTCTCAAGCTGGGGTTATACGCACGGGCTGGGGAAATCGGGGTGTCTGCAGGTTGAGCTCGGTGCAGAGAGGAGATGCCTGCCCACCCTCTTTTGGGCAGACATCCCCGCCTTCCAGGCTAGGCACTACCTCTCTGCCTCCCACCGGATCCCTCCAGGGCGATTCCTCTGAAAAGCTGAGAGGAGAGCTGTGAACAAGTGGTATCACATCCCCGCGTGGGGAGGGAGGGGAGAGGAGGGGCGAGGGACCCTCAAGTTGGTTACCGATGCCTGCATTTCTCTTCGATCCCAGAAATGCACTCCCGGTTCCCTGCAACCCAGTGAAGTTTCCCATTAAAATTGACACCAGGGGATGGTCCTAGCAGGCTTGTCCATCCCGGATTGGTTAGCTCGCCGGAAGTGGCTCGCAAACGCATTTTCTAACAGATAAGTCCATTGCCAGAGACCTTTTCCCCTTGCCCCAAAACATATTTTTTGCAAAAGCCCC